CAGAAAACCTAACACAATATGTTTCTATTTACTGCCTCACTGTGACGGCAGTATTACAGCTGCATTATACAAGTGGAATCTCTTCAAAGTTGCAACATTTTAGTTTCGTAGCATAAGCACTTTGAACCCTTCTAAACTATCTGTTAAGTCATATACATGTAACATTCTTACCAGTACACCAAAGTCTTTAGTCTGTATCCAAGCCTACTAAATTATTATCTAAAAATTCTGTCAAATTCCTAACCTGTACCACTCCAGAGCTGAATGTGGAATTCAAGATGTGGCTGTACCTTCCTTCTGTACAACAGAAGGCCTGTTCTCTGGTTTTGCCAAGTTCTACTCCTAACAGCTCCTGATGTTCCATAAAATGAAAGATTACCTTAAATTTTTATCATTCCAGTTTTTCATACTTCTTACAAAGAAGCCACAAAGTCCCAGTAAGTATCTTGCTTTGCATACTGCCAGCTGGTAGAGTGCAGCAATTTTTGCAACCCTTATTAGAACTTTACAATCTGAAAGTACAACTAAACCAAATGGAAGTGCTTCCCTTTTTTCATAAATAAGGGATTGTATACATAGGATTTAGCAGAAGGTATCAGAGTGCCAAACAACATTTACAGCTGTTTACTTGAAAGGTAATTTAGAAACCAAGAATATATAAAAGTAATTAAAATCCTGCCTTGCCACATGCCAAAAATATGAAATGTACAGAAACACTAAGCCCACAAGATGTTTCATACTGCTCATGGCCAGGGGACACTATGACATTGAAACCAACAGGACATAATGTTGCCTAGAAAAGTTATCTGTTCAATATTTCACTGGTGCCAAAAAGCAGTGTAGGTCACTATGCAAGATAGGAATCTTCAAACGTCCTTTTTGGCCTGTCCACGTAGTCTAGACACACTGCCATGATAGATGCAAGGTGAATGGAATCTGTCTAAAACACTAAAACAGTCATGGGAAAAAGAGAAAATGATAAATTAGAAAAAACTGACACTGCAGAGAAATTACTAAAAATTCATGAAGAATTGAAAGCAGAGACAAAAAGTGTCATTAGAAGCAGCAAAAAAAAAAAGAAAAAAGGCAGCAGGCAAGAGGAGATGGACTGCAAAACAGTGCAGGAAAAACGAGTTGTGGTCTCCTACAAATCTGGAATGGAAAGCAAGGAGCAAAAGGAACTAACCCAGAAAAAGCAAGCAAGAACAGCAACTACAGCAAATTGTTCTTCACTCCTGAAACATTACAGTGAAATACACACCAGCATTAATTCATGTGAACATCTGTCTCCACTGAGTACAATGGCCACTATCTTTCCTCCTTGTATTAGCCTCCTGCTCAGCATATGGAAACCAAATGAATGACATTATCATTCAGAGAAAGATTAATTCTGTAAAAAACCATCAACTTTTCTTTCCAAATAATGAATTTCTCATAACCTCGTATTTGTTAAATAAGTCATGGTAAGGTTCTACTCAATATTTTTCCAGTTTTGGTCTTCCTACATGATTTTGTGGGATTATTTATTTATTCATTATCAGGTATAGCATTGAAACCAACATAGCCCTCTATTTTCAGTTTGTCACGGCTGGTCACTCCAAAACATTTTCGGAGATAGATTAAAGGAAGACAAAGTCATTTTTAAGTTGATACAAAATTAAAGCCATTTACCCTTTTGCCCTTAGGGTTTAAAAAGAAAGTGATACAAAAACATAATCATGGTTTGTCAATGTAAACCCCTAGGGGCTGTACAAAATCTACTCAAGCAGAGAAGAAATAAAAAAATATCATTACTGTTCAGCAGATAAACTTAGAAAAATCAATTTAATCCATTACTTCTTCAGATGCTTTAAGGTTACTGAAACAAAAGCTGAGAATGCAAGATGCCGCACATACACAATCATCAGAAGCAGTTGGAGCTGAAATCCCCACGCATCAAAAACATCCCAAAAATTCGAGCAAAGAAAGGTGCCTGATCTTGCACTGGAAAAGGGATGAAAACTCTGGTGAGGTTTTAGCACTACCACTCTCCCCAAAAGGTACAATCACTTGTACTTCTACTGTGTAGTTACAGTATTTACAACCAGCACAACACATAGAATGACACATTTTCTTGCAAAAACTACAAAAATTTTGAAGATTTATTTACTAGAAATCATGACTTGAAATTGAGAAACTCAGCAACAGACAGGAGAGTGCACTATGTACAGACAGTCAAAATTCAAATACATTCAAGTTAGTTGTAGGTAATCAGAAAGGTGGACTGCAGCCTTTCTATACATATAAAGGAGACATAAGAGCAATACAGAGAGTCCTGTGGTTACAGGACAACAGGAAATGGTTTTAAAATGAATATGGGTAGGTTTAGATTGGATATAAAGAAGAAACATCTCAATGAGGGTGCTGAGACACTGAAGCAGGTTGCCCAGCTAAGTTGTGGATGCCCCTCTGTGTTAACACTTCCTGTTAATATTTGCATTTCTTGACTCAGATAATTCCTGTTGTAACTCATTGAAGAATAAACTTCTATTGTATAAATTCATGCATTTGTAAGGGAATGTTTTGAGGATGAAATTTCAGTATTATCTAGTCCTGACAGAAAAAAAAAAAAAAATTACTAGTAAGGAGGATTCAAACTGCAGGCTATTCTTTAAGCAGCAAATGAATTCCAGCTTCCAGCAGAGAAGATGATTGCTTGAGCCACCTGAACATCCTCCCAACTAGCTTGGTGATATCAGGTCAATCACAACAGGCAGCCCAGGCCAAGTAATACACCTGGCCAGTTCTAAGGTCACAGTTACGCTTGCTGTTGATGGGCAAATCCTGTAGCCACTGGGCTCCGGGCTGGCTTTGTTTTCTCTTTTTTTAAATTAAGAATTTACAAGGGTTACTCTGAATGACTCTAATGCACAGCAAGCAGCTGCAGCACACTAGCAGTTATTTCAAGCAGCCCTGTGACAGCAGAGCTTCGATTTCTGAGGGCTACTTCAGATGTTTTTAAAGAGCTAACACCTACTAGATTTGAATGTTCCACTTGACTGTCAGTCACAAGGGAGACAGGCAAAAAGAAAACCTGGCAGCAATTTCAGAGTTTGAGTACTTTTGAGAGCCAATTACAGGAAACACAACCAGCACAGTACTCACCATTCACTAGGACAACTTTGACAGCCGGAAGTCAAAGCAGCCATAGAGAACTGCATCCTACTTTTTACTAAAACACACCAATGCAAGATAAAAATCTCTTGAGTTACATGAACAAAGGAAGATTAAGTATCTTTACAGGATCAAAGACTGTTGTATTGAAAGGCAAATGACTTCCTTACAACCTATGACCAGAAATCAAATGCCTGCTCCACCAAGCCTACCTGAAATACATATAATTTCAGTCTCTGTTACTTATTTTTAAAATGGGGATAAGTGCATCTCTACCCCATGAATATAACAACAATTACACTAAAACCAGAAAGACTGGAATACTATGTGTGTCTTAATGTCTTAAACAAAAGAACTTAAACATACATAATTTCACTACTCAAACACAAAGATTATTGCTAATTTCACATGTAGCTTTCCTCATCTTTAAAATGGCCCTACTTCAGTCACTACTGATAATTTAAAATATACAGAACCTCCCTGTACAGTTTTCTTTGAAAAATAAAGATTATGGCTACCTCAGATTGGTAAATTAAAGGCAAAAAACAACAAAGATCTTTAGTCAAGTCACATAAATCGTTTTTAATCGTTTCCTAATCAACAACTATCCATTTAATTCTGTTCTGAAACAGCAGAACAAGTTTTCACCAGTAAACTATTTTTTAATTAATGGATTAAATTAATTTTAAAATGTTGTGTTATATTCTTACTACGCTAAGCAGTCACTTGGCAAAAATAAGTCAAAGACTTTACATCCTTATGCTTAATTAACAGTTCGATAAATACCTCCTTTACATGGTTTCCAAAAAAAAAAATTCAACACTCCCACTTCTCCTTCAACTTATATACTTCCAACCACAAAAACACATTAAATCTTAATGTTCAAAGAACAAAACACACATGACATATTTAAATAAGAACACAGGAGCAGAGAGGAAAACTGCAGTACAGGTTTGCACTCAGAGACAAAAAGCTTTAAGATGTTTCATTTTAAAACACAACCTTTGTGATAGAGCCACCTAACAAATTCCTCATAGGTGCAAGGATACAGGAGGCTAGCAATGTCCTTCTGCTCTGTAGCACATTGTACAGCTTCTAATCTTTCATGTAAAAACCAGATTCCTCTCAGAAAGGGGAAGCAGTAGCAGACTGACCAGGTATACAGTCTACCTTTCCAGATTAAATACCTATTATATTTTTCCCCAAAACTATGTTTGACTTAACCCTGAGCTCCAAGTCCTCCGCAGTTCCACATACCAATGGAGCAGATGTGGTAAATATGGGGTCTCTAACAAGAAGCATTAAATTCAGCACATGTAAACTTAAGAGTTCTGAGGTTTTATTATGAAATACCAGCATAGAACACTCCGCTAAACTACAAATCTGTGTACATAAACAGATACATATAGGATATGTATACACGTACATAGAGCACGTGGTTCCAGCTACAGGAAATTATGCCATTCATGAGGAAACAATCAGCTTAGATATGTAACAACAGAAACGAAAATGTTTCAACTGCACTACATCTCTCCTATATACACTGTGAAAGGGGAAGGGCATAACAATAGGATTCTGCCCTTTAAAAAAACACATGAAAAGCAGCTTGTGTACAGCAACATCTCAATTAAATTAACCATATGCAGTAAAAAAAAAAATAAAACCAAAACAACCAGAAGCACAACAACAAAACAACTGCTAGGACTTCACTTTGAAATACAAAATAAATCACCTCTAAGTAGGAGTATACATATAATGTTTCAGTACTGCAAGCAAAAGCCATCAAATATGCCATGAGAAGACAGTGCAATTCAGATGACAGGTCTGGAAGTACAAGGAACACCTACCTACAGTCATGCACACAGTTGATGAAGATAAACATGACAAATTTCAGACTAAATTTTGTGACACCTGCCGGGTCCACCTGGGATGCACGTAGCCAGAGATGCATTTAACACTTAGAGGAAAATGCGCGACCACACTACAACCGCATTCAAGACGTTCATGGGGAAAAAGCACAGGCTCCGGGAACCTCAGCCAAAGCACAATGCCGAATCCGTACAGTTTATACCGTTTTGAAGAGGCACAAAAAGCTCCCACGAATGAAGAAGAGCTGCCGGAGGACGCCCGTCCCTCTCCTATCCTCAGCAACGAGGCAGTGATACCTAACCGGCCCCACCTGTCTCTCCTTTTCCTCACGGCCGCCTGCACCTTCCCCCGCTCCCGGACACCCACAGCTGCAGCCGCG